GTAGACTGCATCGTAAGTCTACACGTAAGTGTAGACATATAATACAGTCTACTTTCGCGATACAGATCAGAGATATGACGAAAAGCATGTAAATAGTTACCTTGACACCGGTTTAAAGCTTGTTTCCAAGCTTTTCCACCGTCCAGAATCCAAATATGAGCAAAAGAAGCAACCTTTACGATTCACTTGTGAATAAAATAGAAACTATGAAGTTTGTGTTAATGAAAATGAGAGTTATGAGGATTGTTTAGATGAAAATAGAAAGGAAATGAGAGGAAATGAAGTATTGTTTGTTTAGAAAGTGAAATAAGTGGTTGAAAATTCATAAACACAAGCTTAAAGAGCTCATCAATGGTGGTTTTTGGTGGTGGCAAATATTGATGACAATGGCATTGTGGTAAATAAGGAGAAATGTTTAGGGTGTAATAGGTTTTTAATAATTTTCGAAACTAATATCAGATTTAATAATAATGGCAATTTGGTAAATAGGTAGAAACATGAGGAGAGTTTAGGTTTTTTAAGAGTGAATAGTAATGACAAAAAAAAGAGGTTGGTTTTGTGTTTGACTTGAATTTTTGGGTTGGTTTTGCAAAAACCCCCTAAATTAAACCGACGGTTATTTATGGAATAGAGTTTTGGGCTTACTTTTGTTTTTATGACATTTAATTGTTTGGTTTTTGGGATTAGTATTAAAGAAAAATTCCAAAAACATTAAATAAACTTTCCACCTTAATTGATCAAAAATCAATTACTATTTTCAAGCCCAAAAATATTTAATACTTTCAACAAAACAAAATTATCTATTATTAATCACTTATTTAAATCATGTACTTTAAAACATTTCAATATTTTTAGCCCAAAAATATTTAATATTTTCAACAAAATAAAATTATCTATTATTAATCACTTATTTAAATCATCTACTTTAAAACATGTTAATATTTTTTATTTTAAATAACAATCCCTCTATCTTGCTAAATATTAATGGTAACTTTTAAATAATTTATTGTTTTATTTTCTTAAATAATTTACAGATTTAAAAAAAAAATGTAAAGCGAAACCAAAAACAAAATCTAAAAACTAAAATCCAAAACCAAAAGCTGAAAACGCAGGTTATATTTTTTGCTTTTTTTATTTACAAAATAAACTATTTCAGAATTTTTAGGAAATTATTTTGTTATCTTTTCAGTTTTGAATTACATGTTCGATTAATTGAGATTTATTTGTTGGTAATATCAGTTCAAACTAACTCAGCGGGTCTAAAAATTAAAAACCCAAACCAAAAACTGAAAATCAAAAATAGAAACTTAAAAACTAAAAACCAAAAACCAAAATTTAAAACAAAATCTAAAAATAAAAACTGAAACTAAAAACTAATGAAAAACAACTATCACCACAAATTTTAGTAAACTAATTTTATACCAAAATATTCTTTAAATTAAGACAAAACCCAATTATATAAATTTTTAATCATAAAAAATTTCCGCGCTTTTCAAGTGCGGGTCAAAATCTAGTCTTATATATTAAAAGAGAAGTCATGACTTCACTTCATGTGTGATATTTTAAAATGGATCATCTAATAGAATTTATGACATTACATTATTCAATCATTAATAACATTCATTTGATTCATTAATAACATTTATTGGGCTTACTAGAAATTTTTATTGGGCTAATAAAAATTAGATGATCCACTGGATTTATAGATATTATGATAAAATACATGTTTAAATTAAACTTATATAATTTAATATTGTAATAGTATAAGTTAGTTATTTATATATTTTTGATGTTAACTTTAAAAATTACATAATTTATTTTTAAAAATAACAAAATTATCATTTTCTAACAATAATTAATCTATATTATATAATAATTAATCATCATTTTCGATATACACACCTTATATAATATATACCAATTTAGATGTAAAAAAAACTGTTTATCTAAAAATGAATGAAAACAAATACCCGCGCGGCTGCGCGGATTGAGATCTAGTAGAGAATTAACACTACAGAAGTATGTTAATTTTTGTTGTTGTATTGTGAGTTGACGTTGTAGTGATTTCCCTTATGATTAATTCATGTCTGCTTGCTTGAATCCCTGCGAATTCCATGTTATCCAATGCTTCTCTTACATTGTATTTTCTTACTAAACTAAGCAAAATATAATTGGTATAAAACACAAACCCAAAACTAAGCAATAAACAAGATTAACAAGCTCTGGAAGTATACAATATATGCTTGAATTTGAATTCAAATCATAGCAGTTGAATCAAGCTTGAAGGTTAGACCTCATCAACGAGGATATAAAGTAGTGATCGTTGCATTATCAGTGGACACTGGAACAGACTTGCTAGTCGTAGATTGATCTGAATGAAGCGCGTCTTTGGGTCTAGTATGATCAGAAAACCCTGGTCGCCTGGGCACTGGCAAAGTCATAGTATTACTGGTGAACATCACCAATATGGTTGACAAGGCTGGACGGTCTACGGGATCTTCTTGAACACATAAAAGACCGATATGGATGCATCGAACAACTTCACTCTTTTGGCAATTATCTATGATAACTGGATCCACGAGGTCTAAGACTGCTCCGTTATTCCAAAGCCTCCAAGCCTATACTATCAGTCAATCAATCAATTGCAACCATAGATTATATATAAATCTTGCGACTGGCTTAAACTTACATATGTGACTAAGTCATGTGAATTGGTCTTCTCATGGAAGCTGTTATTTTTCCTACCACTTATAATCTCAAGTACTAACACTCCAAAGCTATAGACATCAGACTTCATCGAGAATTGGCCACGCATCGCATATTCGGGAGACATGTAACCACTGGAATCCACAACTAAACTTCAGTACGTTGGCACATTAATTAGTGTTCCAAAAATGTCAACATAAAAGTAGCTGAGAAGAAGACTTACTAGGTACCAACTATTCTACTTGTATTTTCCTGGGTTTGGTCCAACTTGAAGATCCTAGCCATTCCAAAGTCTGCAATTTTCGGATTCATATTCTCATCCAAGAGAACATTACTTGCTTTTAAATCCCGATGTATGATTGTAAGCCTTGAATCTTGATGGAGATACAGAACCCCCCGCGCAATTCCTTCAATGATATTGTATCGTCGAGTCCAGTCCAGCTGACCTCGCTTTATAGGGTCTGTCCACATCCATGAGTAACAGTTAGATCCTAAGATATGCAACCCCTTTGAGTTTAAATTGTCACCGAAACAAAGAAATAAATCAACTGACCGAAGAGGAAATAATTAAGGCTTTTGTTTGGAACATACTCGTAGACCAATATCCTTTCTTCTCGTTCCAAAGAATATCCAAGTAGCCTAACCAGATTTCTGTGCTGAAGCTTTGCAACGAGAACAACCTCGTTCTTGAACTCTGTGTCACCTTGTTCTGATGATTTTGACAGTCTCTTCACAGCAACTTCAGTCCCATTCGAAAATATACCCTATCCAGTTTCACCAGTGTCATATTGTTATCCAAACTTTATCACAACAAATTTAAATAAGAAGTAACGAACCTCACGTCCAGTTAAAGAATTAATACCTTGTAGACCTCACCGAATCCACCTCGACCAATCTTATTATCTTCTGAATAATTATTTGTTGCAGCTTGAATTGTTCTGTAATCAAGATGAAGCGAATCAATGGTTGTTATATCATCCCCTGTTGCACATCGAAAGTCTTAGTAATCCGGAAAAAAAAAAAGGCTGATCAATGAGATTAGTCAAAAGATTAGTAATCAATTAAATCTTTACCATTATTAAATGCGGGTTCTGTCTCATTAGTCCTCTTTACCCTCTTTGCAAGGAAACAATAACCAGCTATCAAAAGCAGAACAACCACTATAGTAGGCACAACAATGGCAACCACTAACACAGATGAACTCTCATCTTTTCCTGCGTTTGAAAAGTCATTTAAAAGATCAAAATTCAGTCAAAAAGAAGAAATTCAGCATGTCAAAAACAGAGAAAGAAGACAAAAGATAGACAAAAATCTCTGAACTTATGTTGACAATATGGAGAAGCCAGCGAAAAATAGATGTGGAAGACTGATCAAATAATAGTAGTAGACAAAGGAGTAGATAGAGCTCCAACCTGGTCGGGGAGGAGTAGAAACAGGCGGCGGTAATGGTGCTTGAAATGTGCTAGAGATGGAATCGTCGAAGAATGGGTAAGTCTCGTATCTTGAATTACAGCTCGGTAAAAGAAGTCTCGCCCCAATTTTGTCAGTTTGTAGTTGACTGATAGATGTTTCCAAACAACGCGAACAGTCTTGTGTTGTCAGATCGGGGGTGCACTGAACAAGGCCGTATACATTCTGAAACTGATCAGTAGAGTTGGCTCGTATCCCACCAAGTTTTCTGGGACTACCAGCGGCTTCTTCTGCGGCTTGGTTCATCACGGCTAAAACCAAAACTCGGAACCTCCCTTGTTGGTCAGGTGGAATAGTAATGCGGCTGGACAAGGTATATCCTCCATCGGTTCTTACGTTTGAGAGAATATTCCGGTTAGAGTATCTGAGCATACAGTTATCGTAATAGAGTACGACATCTCTCTGAGTTGGACACCGCGTTAAGGATTCGTTGACGGAAAAGGTGACGCAGTTTCGGCAATCTTCTAGCGAGATGTCTCCTTTGCAAAGGAAAAGTCCAGTGACCATGTCTGGACCTTGACCCGATGTGGCGTTTTGGAATCCGGTGGAGTGTGAAGCGTTGCTGGAAGAGAGGAAAGACAAAACAGTTGTGAGATTGTTATAGAAAGTGCTGTTCCTTGAATACGTTGTTGTATTCGGACAAAAATAGTATAAGAGGGAGAGACTCTGAGCAGAACCTCTGAAGCTAGAGAGGAAGGAAAAGAGGAAAAACAAAAAGAAAGACGTGCTAGAAGACATTGTTCGACTTCTACCAAGTGGGTTTCTCACATCATGGAGCTCCCATTTATATTCATTTATTTTGGGGGTAAATCTCCCAAAACACTCTAGTTGCGTATTGAATCTCTAACTTGAAGTTAGTTGATTTTTAATGAGACTTTACATGATTGTACTAGAATTTTAGATTTTGGGTGATTTTTGTTAAATAATTCTAGAATATCATCTGAAATTATAAGATTTGGGTTTTTCTTATAACTAACAAACTCCTTTGAAACACTCTAGAAATATTTTTTTTAACACTGTATAATTATTTAATACAAAATTATGAGAAATTACATAAACGATATTACAACCGATAAGTCTATCTACCTTATGCGGATTCATGTCTAACTGCATCACCCTGAGCCACCCTATGAGATCGATTTCTGATGGTACGCTTTGCGCCATACTGAAGATCTCTTGTAAGTTTTTTCTCCAATTTGTATAATTCGCCATTCACCTTCTCCGGGAATTGAAACCCTCCTAATGTAGAAACTGCATAGCTTGAGATTCAAACCCCATATCTAGTGTAGAAACCTTTAAACCTTAACCACTAAGCTACGGTGCTTCCTTCTAATAACACTTAAAACATGTGTTATTGGTTTATATATTTTAATGGATTTGAAAATACAAGTTAAATCTAGTGTTATTGAGTCTATGATTTTAAAATCTGTATTCAAATTCATTGTTATTGATTCTAAGATTGTAAAATTTATATTGAAATTCATTGTTATTGGTTTTGTGATTTCAAAATATATTTTTGAAAATCAGCTGTTATTCAATAATAATGATTTGTTTAATAATTTTCTTTAAACTTGGATTTGAATAAATTTGGAAATGATATTAAGTTAAAAATACAAAGGAACATATATTGAATTAAAATTTGTTATATATATATATATATTAGTTTTTCTAATATTTCTTCGATACTAATTTCCGCATGAGTATTGCATACGTTAATTATAAAAAGCACTAACAAGACTTTCGTTAACCGGTAGTCCTGAAAAAAATTCCACTAGAAAAACATCATGCACTCACACTTTTGAAAGTTTTCTATTTTTTAAAACTTTCCAGTTCTTCAAACTAAAATTATAGTTGTCTATTTTCTATCGTAGTGGTCCATCATAATATATACAATCTCTATTATACATTAGAAAATTAACACAAGAGACAAAAACTTGAAACCCCTAAAAACGTCAATAATATATACAATCTATATTATAGCTTTTTTAATTGAACTTTCCCAATTGTTTTTCACGGCAGAAAAAATTGCATAAATAAAATTTTAGCTCCATCAAAAAAATTTCCAGGTGGCTAATCTCATACAATCACGGTAGATGTATGGACATGGTCCCATGGAGGTGGTGATGACATATATTGAAAAGAGGTCACAATCATACTGAAGTTTGTAATTATGGCACTTGGCAAATGAGACCAAAATCGCACTATCAATTGTTTTCAAAGATCATTCACATTAATTTTCTACAAATTTGAATTTAGTGTTTATGTTTACTTTTAAGGGTTAAGGTTGACTATTGACTTGGAATTTTGACTTTTGACTATTCTAATAAATATTTGCAGAAGAAAAAAAAGACTATTCTAATAAGTTTTAGGGCAAATCTCTTAGAACATTTTAATGCAGTGGTTTAAGAGGTTGCTGTGAGGGGTAAAACTCACCTTCTAATTGAGGTTAGGTTAGGATTGGGGAGAAGACAATCGTGGGCTGAATCCCTTAAGAACTTAGAGAATGAATACGTTGTTTATATTGATGTTTGGTAATAAAAGAGTTTACAAAGATGATCCTTGATCTGAATACAAAGAACAATGGAGAATGAATAAGAACAAAGTGTATTGGAG